ATGAACTGGGCATTCCCAGTTACAGGGGCCGAGGCACTACCAGCGTTCCACAGGTTTAATCCCAAGTGTGTCACTCCAGATGTGGAGCTAATCTAAGGATTAGGGCTTCGACTTTAAGACACCAACAGCCTCGAGCTGGTGGGTTTGGAAAAGAGGGGGAATAAATCCCCTGCTCTGCTGATTTCAGTGTTAAATTTGATGTAAAACCAGGCTGGGGGAGGGGGGTGTGTGTGTGGAATTCCAGGCCTTGCTGGACACTGGGAAAAAAACACTTTCTAGGTCACAAAAGTGCCCCGACCTCCATTTCCTCCTGCCTGGGATGAATTATCGTGGAAAGCAGCACGGGAGGAATGAACATTAATGAGCTTTTCATGCTCACTCGTGTTTTCACAGCCACTCACCGAAGTGTTAATCACTTGATTGCTGCTTGGTGCAGGGAAAAAGGGGTAATTGGGCCCTTTTTGGGAATGCTGGGAGTGAAAGAGCAGGAATGAAAACTCTTGTTTCTTGGGGGTTATTGCCCACAGTTGGAGAGACTGAGTGGAACTACAACCCCTTTTGCTGTGATGTCACCTGGGGTGGGACTAAATTAAATGTGGAGTTGCTTCTCAGCAGCAAGGGCGGGGCTTTCAGGCCCTGAATGTGGGGATGGCTGGGATTAATGATTTTTAATAGAAATAGTCTTGGAATAACTGTGGGGATGGCTGGAATTAATGATTTCTTGCTGGCTAACAAATGGAAATGGAAAACTGGGAAAGGCAGAGCAGGCCTTTCCCTAGGAGTTCACCAAGGTGCTGTGGGAATGAAGCTGGAATATGGGAATCCTCCAGGGCCAGTCCCTGAATTTGCCCCGTGTTTTGTGGGGACGGGCCAACGATTCCCAAGCTGAGAGAGCTCCAGGCAATCCCTGAAACCAAAGGGATTGATCCAGGCCTGTATCAAACAGTTTCCAGCAGCCCTTTTAATTACAAGGGACAATTCCCTTTTAATTACAGGGGACAATGAAAGCTTTGTCGTGGTGGTGACCTGGAAAAAGAAGCGTGGGATTGGCAGGGATTCATCCAAGGTCGGTGGTTTGACATTGGGATCGATCCTCTCTGCCTTCCTGGAGGTGCTTTGGGAGGGAGGATGCCATAAAATGGCACAAATAACTGCCAAAACCCCCCTTTCTGAGGTGGTTTTCCTGTTCCCTGTCCTCCTTTCCCCCTAAAATCATGGACAAACTGCTACCAGGAATGAGACAGGAGAGAGATTTCAGGAAGAACGGGATGGGACATCTCTGATTCCACAAACAGTGTCGGCCCCACCTGGGTTTTGTTTGACCCTCTGTGTAATTCCCTAAAAAAACCAAAATTCCTGCCCTAAAAGGCCCATCTTTATAACAGCACAACAATGGAATTTCTAAGCTGAGCTGGGAATTAATTCTCCTCAAAGAGGTTGTTGGAGCCTTTTTTTTTTTTTTGGGGGGACATAAAGGAGCCTTTGCTGGATGGTGAAACGCAGGAACCACTGAAGTGGCACCAGAGCCACTTTGCACAATTTTTGTAGTGTTACCAGGACAAAATGTTCTTATTCCCTGGGATCAATGGGAGCAGCCTCTCATTCCAGCAGCCAGCCAAGCCAGCCTTGGAAAATGGAGGAGGAATAGACATTAAATGCTGCCCTTTGCTCTGAAAAAAAAATTAAACCCTACATTTTATATATATATTTCTATATATTTCCCTACAAATCTCTGGTGATCCTTTTCATAATTAAAAATATTTTTTTCTGCCAGACTCTGTAATTTTAGCTGTAAACAAAACTACTTAGAGGGGTCCAGGGATGGATTTCCAAAGGTTTATCCTTTGCAGGCTTTCTGCTGCCTTTTTTTTTTTTCTTGATTTTATTTCTTAATTTATTGAGGACTTAAGGATGCAGAGCGTTGTGCTCAGATGATCCTCTGGTGGGATCTCATCTCCCATCAGGAAAGAAAATGCAGGATAAAAGAGGTTTGACAGCAGAGCAGGAGTGGAATCAATAGAGGGGGAAAAATCAGGGAAAAAAAGAAAAATGAGGGAAAAACCTCCTTTAATTCGAGCAAGGAGAGGCCTTTTGGCCTCTGCCCTGGGGATGGACTGGGTGCCATCCTCAAACTCCTCACTGTGGCTGTGGATGAACTGCCTGGGAATTCCTTTGGATGAATCCTGTTGATAATGAGTGAGTTTTGTGTCTGACTTTGGGGGAGCTTTGGGTGCAGTTCCCACAGTTTGACAGGGAATTTTGTCAATCAGTTAATCAGTGAATGAATTAAAGCAAGTTGGATCTTCGTTATCCGAGCCTGGGAGAGGGGAGGGGGAGTTTTCCAGCTCTCCAATGAAAAAGCTGGATTTGCTGATCGCTTCTAAGATTGTTTTGCTCCTCAGATATTGTTGTTTGGGTTTTTTTTTTGCTGATTGCTGAGACTGAAGTGTGACCTTTCCAGAGGAATCCTTGGACACGATGTGTGAGAGAGGCAAACATTCCTACAGGGAATGGAAAGGGCTGTCAGTCCTCACCCAGCCCGAGGGGCACAATCCCAGATTTCCTGGGGAGGTCTTTCCTGACTGTTCCTTTGCAGGCTCTGGCAAGGAACGTCCTCCTCCTGATGCTGTGCTGGCAGGGAATGATGGCAGGAATCACATGGAACGACCTTGGAATCTCTCCAGCGGCTGCTGTCGGATCAAAGCCGCGGGAACCACGGGATCGGCATCGATCCCGTCTTGCAGATGGATGTTCCTCCTGAAATCCCTGCCAGCCAGGGGCTCAGCACTCCCAGACAAAGGGCATCCATCAGCCTGACTCCAGGAGCTGAAGGCTTGGAATTCAGCTCTGGTGGGAACGTCACAATTCCCATCCTTTAAGTCACTTCTTTGGGCTGGAGAGGGACTTGGGACGAGGGATGGAGGGGCAGGACACAGGGAATGGCTTCCCATGGACAAAGCACAGGGTTAGATGGGATATTGGGAAGGAATTCCTGGCTGGGAGGGTGGGGAGGCCCTGGAATAGATTTGCCTAGAGAAGCTGTGGCTGCCCCATCCCTGGAAAGTGTCCAAGGCCAGGTTGGAGCAACCTGATTGAGGTGTGGAAACAAAGGGTTCCTTTGGATAATCACTCCTTTCCTTGGCTTCCCTCTGCTTCCAAAAATTCTGAATGCCTCGGATGGAAATTCCTGCTGTGGAATGACACCTGACAACTCTGCGTTCCAAGGGAGGGAGGAGGATCCACTGCTCTCATAAATAGGTTATTCCAGAGTTTAATCACCTCCATTTCCAAGTTCATGCCTGTTCTGGGAGGACTGTGCTTGGAATTTCAGCTGTTAAATCCTGATCTCCAGAGGGAAAAGCAGCTGGAAACCCCTTTTCCTGGGCACTGGGTCACTTCTGTCCATCACCTTTCAACTGTGCAAACTGCCTTTTTTTTTTTTTTTTGCCTAAACCTTCCTGCTCAGCTCCTGAATTGGGATTTTTCCCCTCATTCCCAGCATTTCCTCCCTTACCATTGTTCCTCCAAGAATAATGTTATCCTTATTTTTTTTAATTATCCCAACAGCACCACAGGAATATTTGCTGGGAATATTTGCCTTATTGCTGACTAATTCTGCCCTGGACATTGTGTTTTGTGTGGAATTTTTTCCAAGGGATTAAATTATCTCACTGGGTTAAAAACAACCGAAATCTTGCCTGTCCCATCTCCTTCCTTTGGGCAGAATCCCTGGATCTGAACTGGTAGCAGAGGAGCCCCCTGATTTTTTTTTTACTTGTTCCCTTTAATTATAGATAACAATGGGAACTGGGAGCTTTCACTTCTGCCAGGATTTAAAGAAGGAAAAATGTCCCTTTTTCCAGGATTTTCCAAGGGGGTTGGTTGATTTTTGATTTTTTTAAAAAGCAGGGCTGGAATCAGAGCTGCGAGCAGTTGGAATTGATACCGGTTGGATCTGGTGCCTGTCAGCATTCTGGTGGGAATGTCTGCTTGGAAAAGTCTTGGATGCAAGTCCATTAAAGCCACTTCATCCAAATGTTTGTTGGAGCAGATCCTTCAATATAAACAAGCCCAGCAGCACCTTATTGTTCCCTTCTCTCTGGGAAAGGAGGGAAGGGAGGGCAGGGAAGCTCCAGGAATAAACAGGATACTTTTCAGGTGTATAATTTATGGACAGACTCCATCCAAGACGCTTCAGGTACAACTGGAAAGGGAAAAAATTGGCTGGAATGCTTCAGTGCCCTTCAGGGTTTGTGACTTTGCAGAGCAGATAATTCCAGGGCTTTGATTGGAGCTGGAAAGAATTGAATTTGTCTGTTTGCATCAGTGGCCACGTGAGGAAAACCAGTTTGTGGTGCTGCAGATCAATCCCTGGGATTTACAGCCTGTGCTGGAGCAGGAAGGGATTGGATTTGCTCAGCTGGGATCCCGGAGATTTTGGTGATGAAATCCCTGCACCACAAACCAAAGAATCCTCACAGGGTGGTTTGGGCAGGAAGGGACCTTAATCTTGGCTTAAATCCCCTCCTGTTCTCCTGCTGGTCCCCCTGGCAGAGAACTGAAATCCCAAGGGATCTTGTTGATCCCTTCCAGGTGAAGGTGTTGGAGAAGGAAAAAGTTATCCATAAAACATGAGTGAGGAGAGCTTTTTTTTGATAATAATTCGTTTCAAGGACTGTCAGACCTGGTAAATTTGTTCATTTAAGCTCAGCTCACCTCTTTGAATTGCCTGGTAGAAATTCTTTCCATTTTCATCTCGAGTCACCAATATTTAAGGATAAAACTGATGCTTGGGAATGATACAGGGGGGAAAAAAAAAAGTGTCTCCCAGAGATTTTGCAGTTGTAAAATCCAAGAAGTTGCTCTTTTCCTTGCAGGAAGTGTCACTGCACTCTCTGGATCTGTTGGACACAGTCAACCATTTTTAAATCACTTGCTTACAGGTGGAATTGTTCCTCAAATCCATGTTTGGTTTTGTTGTTTTTTTTGCTTTTTTACAGTGGGGAAGACTTCCTTGATCACCAGGTTCATGTATGACAGCTTTGACAACACCTACCAGGTAAATGAATCTGTGTAATTGCCTTGTCCACGTGGCTTCCAAGCTAGAAAATCATAGAAAACAGAGGGAAAAAAAAAAACATTCAGAAAATGAGCTTTGGGCCATTCCAGGATTGTTCCAGTCATTGTTTCCCGCTCCCAGAATTCAGGATGAGCTCGAAAAGGTGGGAAGCTCTAAAAATATTTGAGTTTTCCCAAGTGTGTCTCTTGTAAGCAGGAACGTGTTTCATGGCTTGGTTACAGGTGGTGACGTTCTGGATACCCTGAACTGAGAGAAATCTGTTCCTGATGCATGTGAAGGTTTTTTTAGGGGGGTGGGAGGAGGAGGAATGGGGGGGAAAAAAAGGCAAAATGTGCCTGTTTTGTTGCTTAGTGTCTGCCCAGGGATCTTGTTTCAACCACAGCAAGGAATATGAAGGGTTGATAAGAAAAATTCAGTCAAGGCATCATTGATGGGTGTCTGGTTTGGGTGTTCATGGAGTTATTTTAGTGCCATTCATCCATGATGTCATCACTGAGGGGGAGCCATAAATCCTGTTTTTTATCTGGAAAAAGGAATCAGTTCACAAAAAAAAACCCAGTAATTTGGCCAAACTCACAGTGAGTGTTGGTGTCAAACCAAAACACACGTTTTTCAACGCCCAGGATCCCGTGGAGAATTCCAAAGCCAGGGTTTAATGATCCCAACCCGGGACTGTGGTTAAACTGCAGCTGGAGGTGAGGTCAGGGATGATTCTGAGCTGGGGATTGACAATTCTCATTTTGGGAGATATATTTATTTGGAAGCTGTCATTTGAACACGGGGGTTTGCGTTCAGCTGTTCAAGATAGAAAGCTGTGCTTGATCAAATCCCTGCTGGAGAAAGTATTTAAAATGGATTTAAGAAGCAGCTCTTGATAGCTGCTTGACTTTCCTTAAAACATTTGTTCAGGATGTCCCCCAGGAAGCTCCCAGTGGTGTCTGGAAGTTTGGGGGGTGCAGTGAAGACGAGCCAAGCTTTAGTTTTTAGGGGCTACATGTGCCCACGTGTTGGGGAAGATTTCTGCCCCAATCTGAGGGGAAAAAGGGGGAAAAAAATCCATGAAATACTTGGCAGTGTGCCCACAGCCACCTTCTGGTCAAGCTAGGGGGCATTAATTCGGGTCATTCCTAAAGAACTGTACGGATTAAACTGTCAATATGCATAAATGGAAGTTAATAACCTTTAGTACTTTAAGAATTCAGGCTGGCTGTGGAGATATTTAAAGAAATGGCTCGTTGAATGGAGCTGTAAGCCAGAAAAGCAGCCTGTTTTTTCCTGCAAGGTGCTGATTTTTCCCCTGGAAATCCCCTGCAGGTGTCCTGCCATTTGATTTAAGAGCCCTTGGTTTTTCTCCTCTCTCCCCAGGCAACAATCGGCATCGACTTCCTATCGAAAACCATGTACCTGGAGGATCGAACAGTGAGTGAGCTTTTGTTGTCCTTGCACGGTGGGGGTGAGGAGCAGCATCTGCTCTGAGACCACTCGGGAGCACAGCCTGAGCCTTCCATCTCCCAGCTGCTTCCAGGCTGGCGAGTGGGAGAGGCAGGGAATCACCATTGGGTTCCTCCCGGGAGGGCCCTCGAGGGCCGTTTGACAGCAGCTCTTTGGTGTCACCCTGTGAGAGAGGTGGGACAGGGACCTGGAGGGGTGCAGACTGTGGGAATCCACACCCCTGATGCTACAAAAGGATAAGTTTTGATGCCACAAAAAGGATAAAATCTAAGATTGCCAGATGTGGCCAGTTAATATTGCTCGATTAGAAGGAGGGTGGTAACCCACAAATGATCCCTGGCTCCCAGCCTGGGGCAGCCCTGGCTCCTTGAAATGAGATCACTCCTCTTGTGGAAGCAAAGACGGGGTTTAAAATGAGCTCAGGTCCTTAATTAAGGAATTCAGCTGCCGAGCTGTTGGCAGACACCAAGCTGGGCAGAGCTGCAGGAGCTTTCCTGGGAGTTGTGAACCCCTGGGAAATGGCATTGCACGGGAGGTGCCCAGGGGGGGATGAGCTTCCCGAACCCCACGTTGCTTTTGGGGTATCCCGCCTTTTCTCCCAGCACCTGGATGGTGAGAGACGTTCAGCCCCACCTGTGTGCACCTCACTCCGCAGTTTGGGGTTATAGGTGGCGTTTTATCCTCCTTGGAAAACTGACAGGAGCAGATTTTCCGGCTTTTCCACCAGCAGCCCGTCCTTCAGGCTGCTGGAGGTTGCCTGTGTGAGACCCGAGGAAGGACTAGAGCAGAGCACGGGACTCCTGCGTGGGGAGAGTTCATGGAATTGTAGAGTCATTTACGTTGGAACATCCCTCTAATTCCATCGAGTGCAGCACTTCCAAGCCCACCCCTAACCCCTGTCCCCAAGTGCCACATCCACAGAGCCTGTGAGCCTTTCCATGGGTAGTGGTGGATCCACAGGCCTTTTAAACCCTTCCATGGATGGTGGTGGATCCACAGGCTTTTGGAGCCCTTCCATGGGTGTTGATGGATCCACAGGCTTTTTGATCCCTTCCATGGATGGTGATGGATCCCCAGGCCATTGGAGCCCTTCCATGGGTGGTGGTGGATCCACAGGCTTTTTGATCCCTTCCATGAGTGGTGATGGATCCACAGGCCTTTGGAGCCCTTCCATGGATGGTGATGGATCCCCAGGCCTTTGGAACCCTTCCATGGAAGGTGATGGATCCACAGGCTTTTGAACCCTTCCATGGAAGGTGATGGATCCCCAGGCTTTTTGAGCCTTTCCATTGAAGGTGATGGATCCACAGACCTTTGGAGCCCTTCCATGGATGATGGTGGATCCACAGGCCTTTGTAGCCCTTCCATGGGATGGTGATCCCACCATTTAGCCATAGTTTTCCCGCTGATCCTTGAAAGCCAAGTGATTTTGCTGCCCAGGGGGTCATTTTTCAGGCAGCTGAGCTCCTTGCAACCCCCCCTGAGTTTTTCCCGCAGCTGATCCCTCGGGAGACGTTCCCACCAGGAGCCAGCGCCCCTGCATGAGTTCCCCCTCCCTCCCTTCAGCCTCTTCCCCACGCTGAACCCTCTCCCCTCTCTCCTTCTCGTGGCACTCTGGCTCTTTTAACTCTCTCCCGCCCACAGATCAGGTTGCAGCTGTGGGATACCGCGGGGCAGGAGCGTTTCCGTAGCCTCATTCCCAGTTACATCCGCGACTCGGCCGCTGCCGTAGTAGTTTACGATATCACAAGTAGGTATTTCTGCACCGGGGGTCGACCTGCCTTTGTGCTTATTTTTCTTGCTTGTCTGACTGATTTTGTTAGGTACGGTTGCAATTGTGGGACACAGCAGGTCAAGAGCGGTTCAGGAGCTTGATCCCTAGCTACATTCGTGACTCCACTGTTGCAGTTGTTGTTTATGATATCACAAGTGAGTGGGGGGAATTCTGCATTTCTAATCCTCTCTGCCCCTTCCATCCCCTTAGCTTTAGCTTTGCATGTCCTCTCACATCATATCTGCTTGGTCTTCGTCCCGGCATGGAAATAAATGTGGTTTGTTTTTGGTTTTTCTCTCCTTGTTTTGCTGCTGGTGTAACGTATCAGTGTCTCACAGTAACATCATTTTAACCCTCTCCTGCTCGGGTCACCTCGAGCCTGCCTGCTTTCTCTCATCTGCCTCTCAGCCATAACCTCACTGTGATTTTGGGTCTTCATGGAGATCTGAATTTCCTCAGTTGGAGACTTTTTCGTAGCTTGCTTCACTTCATTTACCCTCTCCCACCGAAACACTCTGGGAATGGGCTGGCGGGGCACACGCATTAACGTCCCATTTCCCCTGGAATTTGTCACCCTCGATGTGTAAAACTTGCCACCAAGCCCCTCCCCCTTTAACAACTGCTCTCTCATTTCTTACTAAGGTATGTACATTTTTGTCAACTAAAAATATTAGCGCTTTCTCTCAACCCTCCTCCTCCTTCTGTCCCTCCCCCTCAGTCCAGGCAACCCCTTAACTTACTGACAGAGAGCAGGAACTGTGTTTTAGGAGAGCTGAATTCCAGGCTGAGAGCAGTGGCCTAATTCTACACCAGGGCAGGAGTGCTTTGATTTATAAATACTAGAAAATTACAGAAGGAGTCAGGGCTTTACCTAGAAAAGCCTTAATTGTTAAAAATACCACTTTCATTTGAGCTACAATTACAGGTGAAATTTTTTACTGACCTGGCAAATTCAACATTGCCGAGTGGTTAAAGAGAAGAATTAAGGCGCTGGCAGATGACCAAGTCTTGGCTGTCTAACACAAAATATAACTTTGCAGTAAAAGCCATTAAAGAAATCAATATTTTGCAAGAACTGCTGCAGAACCGCCCCCCCTCCCCTTCCCCTTTTTAAGTACTAAAACTACTTTGGCAGCTCAGATGCTCTTTGTGTAACACTGAGCTCCGTGGCAGCTTCCCTCCAACTCCTTTTTTCCTCGTGGGATTCAACTTTCCGAGCCCCACACAGCCTGAAATTCTTCCCTTGCAGCTCTTAAGGATGCAGCATTAAATTAAAAAGCCTGGGAAAAGGTTAAATTTCTCTTGTCTGCTTCTGTGCAAGTGATTTGGAAGTTGTCCTGAAGGCAAGTGCTCAGTGCCCCAGGAGCTGCTGGTGTGTTGTATAACCCTGGGATTCCCTGGGGAAATAAAAGGTGATTAAAGTGTACAGGATTCCTAATTGGGATTGAGGACTTTGGAGGGAGCACAAGCCACGAGCAGAAGGCAAAAGTCAACCCCCCTGTCCTCTAGAGAAAATAGTTTCTGTTTTATTTGGTAAACAAAGGAGCTGAAGCACAGGGAGAGGACTCATTTTAGATGCTGTCAGGGGCCAGTCAGAGATGGGCTGGCTTTGAATCCCCTGTAATGAAGCACCTGGAATTAATGCCACAGTTTTCCCATCCTGTAGTGGGGGGGGGGGAGATCGAGGGTTTCACTTGCCGGGTCTTCATCCCAATTCCACAGAAGTGGAGCTTTGGTTTCAGGTGCCAGCTGTGCTTCCTAGGGCTGTGAGGGGTTCCTGCAGTGATAATCCTCTCCACTGTTCCCTGATAGATGTAAACTCCTTCCAGCAAACAACAAAATGGATCGATGACGTCAGAACGGAACGGGGCAGCGACGTCATCATCATGCTGGTGGGGAACAAAACAGATCTAGCAGATAAAAGGTATGGAGGAATCATTAATTTCACTTTTTCACTGCTCTTCTCACTCTGCAGCTGGTTTAGAAGGGGGTTTTTGAGTGTGTTTTTGCTCCCAAAATGCTCGAGCTCGTTTTAGTTCTTGATTTTAACCCCCCTTTCTTGTGGTTAAACTGAATTTCCAGCAGCAAAATTTGGTGTTAAACCAAGCTTTCCAGCTGGGAATGAGTTGAGAAACCACTACCAACTTGTTCAGGAGAAAACAGAGTGTTAACTCCAACCTGCACCAGTAAATGAATAAGCTGATGACAAGGGTTTATTCTTAATAAATCTGCTCAGAAGGAAATGATAGGTGCAAATATGCTTTCAGAACTGCAATAAATCTTCATTTTCAAGAGGATTTTTTTTTTCCCTGACTCTGTGTTGTCTCCCCCAGACAAGTGTCCATCGAGGAAGGAGAGAGAAAAGCCAAAGAGTTGAATGTAATGTTCATTGAAACTAGTGCAAAAGCAGGATACAATGTAAAACAGGTGAGTGGCTCCTGCCAAAATCCCTCCATGTGGGACCAGGACTTCCCTGGACACTGGGAAAACTTGGACAGAGGGATATTTGTGGTCCATGCACAGCAAGTTGAGTGGAGTTGAGTTGTCGGCTGAGGTTCAGGAGGGATCCCTGACCTTGGGACTTCTTGCCACGTGATGGAGGAAGCTTTGTGAGTGCAGGATCATCCATTCCTGGATTTCTGGTAATCCAGGTTTGGTGTTTGGACTGCAAGGGAGCCAGAAAGTTGGGGAAACGCAGGTCTGAGGGCTGTTCCTGATCCCCTTGCAGGGAATGAACCACTCCAGGAAGAGCCTGGAACTGGGATTCCCACTCTGCTGGGAGGCACTGGATGTGGGAGCAGATGTTCCTGGACAGCCAAAGCTGTTTGTTTCTGGTGGATGACAAGCTGCTTTTGATGAGGAAAGCAGTGAAATGATGGGATATTGGGAAGGAATCCACCCCTGTGAGAGTGGGCAGGCCCTGGCACAGGTTGCCCAGAGAAGCTGTGGCTGCCCCATCCCTGGAAGTGTCCAAGGCCAGGCTGGAGCAACCTGGGACAGTGGGAGGTGTCAGAACTGGATGAGCTTTAAGGTCCCTCCAACCCCAGGCACCCTGGGGTTCCACGTGTTTGTATCCCTACATTATATTTTACAGCTGTAGATGCACAGTTGGTTGCAGAATGGTCCCAGGAGCTGCTAAAACAGGATTATAAACTCCTTTGTCCGTGACAGACAGCACTGAGGGGTCTGTTATTAAAATGTCCCTTGACTTGGTGTAGAAGCAGTAAAATTATTCGCTCTCTTAATGGAATAATTAGATGTCTTATCTCAGTGCTGAGCTCCAGTGCATTACCAGCCATGGAAGTGCTGCATTCCAGGCTCCACAATTATCCTGCCATAACACCGGCTGGTAATTAAGGTTTGGATCTTTGCTGCAGTCCTTAATGAGTGCTTAGAGCTGGGGGTGTGCCCTGGAGAGCAAAGACACGAGTTGTTATTCAAAAAGAGCTAAAAATGGGTTTTTCCTCTCAGTTCTGATCCTTGTTGCAGGCATGGATTGGAATTCTCAGGGATTTCAAAGATGCTCTTGTGCTGCAGAATGTTTGTAACTCTCAGTTTTATATTAGTTTAATAAGTGGTGGTTGGCACAATTCTCAGAGGATAAGACTTTTAATACCACTACTTACAGAGTTTCCTGTTTTCTTGCAGCTTCTCTGTTGAACTTTATGAATTTATTTTAACTCAGTAACTTATTTATCTAATTTATTTACCAACAAATCATCTCCCATGGCTACATCTGCTGAATGGACCCACTCCCCAGAAGATCTTCCACAATCTGAGTGCAAATCTGACCTTCCCACAACTGATAACTAAGAATACATTTTAATTCTGGAGTTAATTTTCCGAGTTAATTTTCCTCCAGGTTTTTAATTCAGGTGTCAAATTGTTTTTGATACAAATACAGTCGCATTTTGACTACCTAAAATGAACGTTAATTTTTGACTACATGAAATGGAGTTTTGTTTTTTGAATACATGAAATGGAATTTTATGTCAAAATTAAGATATCAGATATTAAATACTAATGTAAAGGGGAGTTTTGGAGTAGTTGGCGATTCACTGGTTTGTCACTTGGGTGCAGGCTCAGATTTAGGAATTAATTAACAGCTTGTGAGTGGAATTTGTGGATTAGGGAATATAAACTTTGTTTTGGAGGGTCTTTTTTTTTTTTTTTACCTTCCATGCAAAATTCCTGCCTGCCAGTACTGAAACTTCCCAGGAGCCTTCAGCTGGAGCACTGGATAACTTGCTTCATTTAATGCCTTTAATTCCTTCTGGCAGCCCTGACACAGCTTGAAAAGACTTTGGGATCCCTGCTCTGTCTCCACAGTGGGTATTTCAGGGAATCTCATTGTTGGCCCCTGCATTTCGTGCCCAGAATGTGTCAGGGTTCCTTTTGCTGCCCTGGGGAAGGAGAAGGGAGGGAGAGCCCTGGAATTCCTGCTTCCAGCAGTACCTGGCACATTCCATATTGGCTCTCCAGGAGCCCCAGGCTCTGGCAGAGGAATTTTCTCATGGCAGCAGCTGAAGGGACGTGGCCCCTCACTCACCCCGGGCTCTTTGTCCTCCTCTCCTTTGATTTCTGTCCCTGGGAGGGCCAAGAATTATTCCCAGAGTCGCAGAGGAGGAGAATTCAGGAGAGATTTTGGTTTGCTTTGCGTTGGTTTCTTGCCTGGCTTTTCTACCTGGGCAGGGATCTTCCTGTCCTTCCCATATCGCTGCAGGAGGGTGCCAGGGAAAACTGCTTTATCCTGCAGCCCCTTGTGACCCTGATCCCTGGGGATTTACTGCCTGGAGTGGGAGGAAAGGCACAGTTTGGTAAATCTCGATGTAACATAGGCGAGAGATGAGGGTTTTCCCCTGGGGTTTCATCAGCAAGGAGGTTGCAGGGAGACTCTGTGTGGCTCTTTTAGTCTTTCAGCTCTTGCATTTGGGGAGGAAATAAAAAAAAAGTCCTCAGTGCTCCTCAATGTGTGTGTTTTTATACCCACAGGGACATTTAAACATATCTGTGTGTATTTGCTCCCTGTGTCAGGCCCGGCGTGAAGGCAGCTTCCTAATCATCAGGAAGTTTCCCCTTAATTGGATTTCTCTCCACGTATGCTGTGGCTGATAAGCAGAAGGTTAATGAGAGCGAAAGTTGATTTTCTTAGTCGCCAAATTCCTATTTTTAGGCAGATGATTCGGGGGAGAAAGGCAGCTAAAAGCATGGTTTTATTCCTGGTCTCTTCATGTAAAGCAAGGATTAGGGTATTTTAAACAGCCTTCCTGTCAGCAGCTTGGCTTAAATGCAGCAACTCCAGTTGGTTCCATCAGCTGAGGATTTTTTAAGACTCCCCAACCCTTTCCCTCTATAAATTTCCCTCAGTGCTTTCTTTATATTGTACAGGGAATCAATGGAATCCCAGAATGGTTTGGGTGGAAGGGATGTTGAAGCTCAGGGACACCTTCCAGTAGCCCAGGTTGCTCCAGCCTGGCCTTGGACACTTCCAAACCTTCTGTGCCAAGGACCGGGTCAGAAATGCTCTTTAAGATTCCCTCAGTTGAGGAATCCACCTTGTGAGAATTTCCCGGAGGTTTTCAGGGAGCCTGGAAGGTTCTGGATCACGGCAGAGGTTCGTGGAAACAGAGAGGGATGCTGAGCTTTGTAACTGTGAAATTGGGGCCTGAAATGTCTCCCCAGCAGCATTTGGGAGCCAAACTGGTGTGAGCCCTTGGACACGGATCCAGAGGCTGCTCAGGTCCCCACATTCCTGATGGGAACAGGCTGGCAGAGCCTGGGCTCAGTTTTCTGTGGAAAGTGGGTCACTGGGAATAAGTGGTTTAGCTTCGAGTCATTTGAGGAGAGGCAGGAAAACGTGGAATAACAGCACACAGCAAGGCTGACGTCAGAGCCAAGCCTGGGCATTCTGGGATCCTGCACTGCCGTCGGGGTGGGAACACACGGAGGGATGGGGGTCTGGAGGGCTTGGAAGCAGCTGCTGTCCTGGAGCTCGATGAGCCAGAAGAACAGAGTAGAAACATTGTGTGTAACAGGGGAATATTGGAATATTTAATATTGGAATATGAAGGAATATTGGAGTATTTATGGCTGGGGCTGTGCTGGGTGCATCCCGATGGGATCAGGACTCTGCCAGGGCTGTTCTGCCGAGGGAAGAACCGATTAGGTGGTCATTTGATAACCCTGATGGATAGTAAAGGTGTTACCTGTCCTTCCATCCATCGGATCTGCACTGACCTTGCCCAAGGAACATGGAAAAGAGATCCTTGCTGTCCTTGTGTCGTTCCAACAAACTGGTCATGGCAGGGATCACCCTCAGCCGAAGGACAGCCCAGAGCCGGGCTGTTCCCAGTCAGGGGATGTTCTGGGATCAGGGAATTCCAGTGAATTCTTGTGCATTAACCTGTAGGCTGAGGAAAAGCCATGTGGTGGGAGCTCCAAGGCTGAGCCTCAGGGACAAACAGGAAATGCAGGAGAGGGAATCAGTCCCATTCCGTCCGGACTCTCGCCCTCCTCAAAGTGGAATAAAACTGGGAAGGGAGTTTGAGCCCAAACCCTGCTGGCAAACTGGAGCTGGTGAGGGGCAGAACTGCTTTGGGCTGGCAAATGCCAAATGGTTTTGTGCTTTAGACCCCAAGTGTGGACACGGGATAACAGTGGCTTAGGATTGGGCACATTCCTTTGTGTGGATCCCAGGGAGCCTCAACAACAGCAGAGACCGTGCCATTTCCAAGGAATAAAGGTTATATTTGGTGTCAGGCTTTTTTTGGGCTGAGCAGTGCAAACAGTGCTGGGGAGGAGGGGGGATGTGTGGAGTCATTGTTTGAACTGTATCTTCCCAGGGTTTGGGATTGTTTTCATCCGTTCCCTCTGCGGTTTCTTGCAGCTTTTCCGACGTGTGGCAGCTGCCTTGCCTGGCATGGAAAGCACACAAGACAAAAGTAGAGAAGACAGTATCCTTTATGCAGCTGTGCCAGGCATTCCCTGGAGGAAAACCCGCTGCAGCCAGCTTGTGGACATCCCAAAAACAGGGGGAATAGGGGCAAGTAACCTCCGAGCTTGGAGCACCGAGGGAGAAGGATTGGTGGGGTGGGAGGTTGGGATTGGGGGGTTGTTGAGGGGAAGGATGAGGGGGCATGGATGGAAGTATGGGAAGGTGCAAACAGAGCCAGAGGAATTCTTTGCTTGGTGTTTGAACGGGTTGGGTGCAAAGAGACCTGAAGGAAACCTCTGTGGCTCTTGCAGATCTGACTGACAGGATCCCAGAACAATCCTCCGTAGGTCCCTTCCCCAACCCTCCTGCTCACGGCAAGGCTCATCCCAAAATCTAGGCCGGTTTCTCAGGGTCACATCCAGGGAAACTCCGGAAATCTCCGAGGATGGAGATGCCATAACCTCCCAGGGCAGGCTGTGACAGTGCTGGAGCCCAGGCAGCATCTGCGTGGTGTGTGAGGGAGGAAAGGACTCAACTGATGGGACGAGGGCTGGAAAAGGGATAAAGGTCTCTGCATGACAAGCAGAGATGGCTGAACGGGAATCTCTTACCTGGCCAGGTGGGTGTGTTTGGAACAGGAATTTTTCCAGGGCTGTTGGTTTTATTTGCAGCTGGGAAATGGAGGAGAAATGAAGCCTTGGAGGAAGGACGTGGAAGGAACGGTAGGAGGGGGACGGGCTCGGTGCTGAGATTCCATCAGAGTGCAGGGAAGAGGATTTGGGAAGCTGAGGCACAGCTTTGTGCTGTGATCAGAACCTCCTTGTGCAGGTTCCCAGAAGGTTAATGAGCGACAATCTTTATTAATGAGGGGGGGGTAGAGTGCACAGGCTCTGTCAGGGAGTTTGATCACCGGGCTCCAAATGGCAGTGCAATGAGGGCACTTGGAATTGGCTTCCTGCAGCCTGCAGATAGCACCAGTGGGGGTGGATTTTCCATCAGCTTTTTTGCAGGACGTGGAGGGTTCAGGGATCTCAAACCACTCGTGCTGATGGAGCTGGCAAGGAGTCTCTGACTCAAACACCCAGCAAGTTCAGAGCAGCCAGATGGACCAAATATTTGAATTATTTGCCTCTTGTTTCCCTTCCCGTGTTTATTTTCTCCAAACCTCTTCAAAAGCAGCTTCAACCCCCTCCCCCCGAAGGGACAAGCTGGAAGTCCCAGCAGTGTGATCTCTGTGTTCCCTGATAAGGGAAACACTGGGGTTGGGGATTAGCATTCAAAGCTCCTCCTGGGAAGGGATCCTTGAGGTTGGAGCTGGAGGGCATCCGTTGGGAATGCGAGTGCTGCAGAGGGAGCAGCCTGTCACAGGTTCAGAGCAGGCAGCTCTGCAGTGTCCTTGTGGGATATCAGCTGGCACTGGGAGGAGGAGTTCAGGCTTTGCTGGCTGGTGGTGGGGTGAGCAGAGAGGTTGGACTGGAGCAGGGATGGATGGGAATGTTTGGGATGGCACATGGGGGGATTAGGGATGTGCACAGCCTGAGGAGGAACGGCCTTGCTGGAATGTGCTGCTGGGGCTCCTGACAGAGCACAGCATCCCTCTGGAATCATGGAATCACACGATGGTTCGGCTTGGAAGGGACCTTAAAGCCCATCCAGTCCCACCCCTGCCGTGGGCAGGGACACCTTCCCCTAGCCCAGGGTGTCCAACCTGGCCTTGGACACTTCCAGGGATGGGACAGCCACTATTCCAACCTTCTCCTGCCTGTCCCAGAGCTGAGTGTGACAGAGGGAAGTAATTGCCTGCTGCCTTTGGAGTAGAGGAGCAGGAGTTTGGGAAGGAAGGGAGCTGTCCCTTCGTGGGTTCCTCCAGGCTCCTGCCACCTCCAGAGCTTCCATGTTCTCCTGGGTGCCCGCTGCTCTCTGGGCTGGAATACTGAATTCCAGCATTGATTCCACACTGAGGGTTTCCAGGCTGGGACTGGTTCCCTCTGAACAAGCAACAGGACAAGAGGAAACAACCTCAGGTTGTGCCAGGGGAGGTTTAAGTTGGATGTTAGGGAAAATTGCTTCCCTGAAAGCGTGGTCATGCACTGGCACAGCTGCCCAGGGCAGGCATGGAGTCCCCATTCCTGGAGGGATTTAACAGCCCCGTGGATGTGGCACCTGGGGACAGCGCTCAGTGGTGGCCTTGGCAGTGCTGGGGAATGGTTGGACTTGATGGTCTTTGAGGTCTTTTCCAACCTAAATGCTTCTGTGATTCTGTGGAAGCAGTGATTAGGCCCTTCAGTGTATCCACACACCTTTAATTCCTGCAGCAGGAGATCCCTGGGATCACTGGGAAGAGCAGACTCTGGTCAGGGACAAATTTGGGGGCTGACATCACCTCTCCTGCGTATTTATCGTGGCCACGAGGGTGTGGTGAGAAACCTTGATCTCAGCCTTGCTTTGGAGCTGGGCTTCCCAAATCTTCCAGGGAAACACCGAAATTCCAGGGCAGTACTGAAAATGCCAGGGGAAACAGAGCTGGAGACCCGTTTTGCCTTAACTCCCTCCTTCCAGTGATTGACATAAAACTGGAAAAGCCTCAAGAGCAGCCTGTCAGTGAAGGAGGCTGTTCCTGCTAATCCCACGTGGCTCCCACCTTTCTCCAGAACATCACTGCTTCCCCCTCCCTGTCCTCTCCATTGACTGCAGTGTGAATATTGGCTTGAACCTCCCCCTTCCCGTGATAACGTATCCCAGTTCCTCATCGCTGCCTGTCTCGTGGAGATGATTATTGGCTTCACAAGCACACACACACACACACACACAGAGAAAAATGTCAGTGTCTTCATTATTTATAAGAAAAAAAAAAAAAAAAAGCCAAAATATCCCAGCGTATCCTAGTTATAACTTTAAAGGGGAAAAAAAAAACCAGGGAGATAAAAAAAAAAAACCAACAAAAAAAAAAAAAGAGACAAAAATAGGTACAATTTTCTTAATATTCGTTCCTTTTTTTAATATGTTATGAGACCGCACTTTGGAATCGAGGGCGACTGAGTAAGTTTGGGATTGGACTTAGATGGGATGTACGTGCAGAAGAAGGAGGCTTTGCAAATCTGACCCATGGGAGTTCTCTGAGGATCTGGGAATGCGTAGGCAGCGGGAATGGCAGGGGGAGGCGATGCGTGCCGAGGACCAGACCCTTCTCCTCGGTGATCCAACAGCAAATTAACCCCGAGCTCTGGATTCCCTCGAGCAGAGCGAGTCTGCCTGGTGTCCAAACCCCACCCCAGTAGGGCTTTGACACCACCACAAATGGTTTTGGACCCACTGCTGGAGTTGGGAATTCTGCGTTTCCCAGGAGGCGCGCTGGGAAATCCGGAGAGGGGCTCTCTGAGCGGGATGAGTGGCTTCTGGAGGATTTTTGTGGGGGGGATGGAGGGGGAAGGAAAAGGTGGATTTGCATTAGCAAAACACTTGCAGGAAACAGGGAAATAATGTTTCGAGTGCAAGAGGAGTTTTTAAGAGCAGTTGTTTTGGTTTTTTTTTTCCTTTGTAAGTAGAAAACACGGATGAAGTGAATTATTCCTGCCCGAGAGACAGGAACAAAACGTTCCAGGTGTTTGGAGGAGGAAGCATTTTGCTTCTTTTTTTTTTTTTCGCGCTTTTTTTTAGGGGAAATAGTGAAATCAGGATTGGCACTAAAACCTGCCAGAGCTGATCGAAACCTTGGAAATTTGGGAGAGAGAGAGAGAGAGAGAGGGGGAAGAGCAGGTGGCTGCCCCGGCAGAGAGGGAATCGCTCCTGCTTTTCCAGAGCGTAGGTCGGTGGGGGGAAGGGGGTGTTTACTTTAATCCTACAGAAATCTAGCTGAGGCAACTTAGATGGAAAGGGAGGGACTTGAGTAGGATGGAAACCAACTTCTGATTATGCAGATTTATGCCTTTATTTTTTAGCTTTTTTTTTTTATGTTCAGTCTTCCGAGTCGGTTTAGTTCGGTTCACTAGAGCTGTATAGTTTGGTTAAACAAGTAGCAATTCAGTTTTCTATTGAACTAAGCTTCCAATTAACCATTTTTTTTTCTTCTTTGATATTTATTTCTTGGCTTAATTTTTTTTTTTTTTTTACTCTGTTCAGTACTGATTTTGTGGTGGTTTTTTTTTTTTGGTTGTTTGTTTGTTTCCTTTGGCTGAGGAGTCTGTTGTAGAGCTTTTTTTTTGCTGGTGTTGCTGGATGTAGCTCCCCGAGACCCACAGAATGGAACACACTAGAAGTGCACCCTTTTAATCTTTACTAGTTCATTGTGAAGTTGCTGTGTAAGTTAATTAAAAAAAAAAAAAAGAAAATCAAAAAACAAAAACACACACCTGTAAATACCTTGTTTGCTGGGCAGATCTGGTCGAGTTGCAGGGAAGGAATTCCTGAGTCTGGGTTGCGATTGCTGCTTAGAAGGACAATTGCCAGGGAACATTCAGGCTCCTCCTTGGTTCTCCTTGCCCCTCTCCCTGCCACCTAAAATGGGGGAGAGGAAGGGAAGTCGTCCTCACCACCACTTTTCCACCGGGAAACGGGCATAAAAGAGTTGGAATTCTTCATTCCTGAGGGGCTCGTGCCCTGCCCTGGGTTTGTGGCAACTCTGCACAACAGTAACTCAAAAAGGCAGAACGAGATGTAAAAGTGCTTTTCTAATGCAATATTAAAGGCATTAAAGGAGTTTTTTTTTGACGTGGCATGTCTTGAAATAAACATCAATGATATGTGACAAAGGATCATTCTTTCTTTTTAAAAAAAAAAAAAAAAAAAAACCTGGCTGGGGGAAGGAAACCTGGCTGCTTTTGCCGTGTTGTGCTGTCCTTACCCGGGCAGAAATGCCTCACCCTGCTGCTCCTTCCTTGGCTCTCTTCTCCTCTGGTTCTTTGTGCAGCTTCTCCTGCTCCTCAGTTGGCTGTTCCCCACCGGCACATCCTTGGTTTTCTTGCTTCTGGTAGAACCAACCCCCTCTGCTTCCCATAGTCCCGAGCTTTAAGCACTGGATTTGCAAGGAGCTGGCTGAGCCCGGGGGGTTTCCCGGCTTTTCCCCGGAAGACCTGAGAGCAGGTTTGGCCATAATTCCCTCTAAACGAAGGCCTGGAGAGCAGCATTCCCACAGCTCCCCGGGGCTGCAGGAGCACGGATGAGGCTGTGCTTTGGCCCTTCTCCAGCACGAGGTCCCTCAGGGGTGTGCTCAGGTACGTTCTGATAGTCCTTGCTGATGGTCCGTGCTTAACATGCCCCCAGCCCTAATCCCGGTTTTCCAGAGAGAACACGCTTCCAAAGCGAGCACAGAAGCAACGTGATCTTTATATTTTTTCCTTTTGCACCACCTTGTCTCAGGTTTTAGTTTCCCTTTGCTCCTTGGGAACCGTGGGAACAGGCCTTTGGTGTGATTTTCGGGGTGAGGGTCTCGGCTCTGTTTCTTTTCCCCTCCCCGCTCCGCCCCGCTCGTTGTGCCGTCCCCATCACGCAGCTTTTCCATCCACACCTTTTGTCTCGGTAAAAGTAGTTGAAGAAATTGTGTAAGGAGGGAGGGGGGTGTGTGTGAAAAAAAGGTTCCTTTTCTTCGTGTTGGAATGTCACTGGTACCTCAGCTCTGTTTGGTAACGGCGACGACGACGAGAGATCGAATGCGTAGCGCTTGAACTAAATAAATACCTGTCTCGTTGGAAAGCTCTGGGTCTCTTCTCTCCATCACCACACAGGTGGGAGGTGCAGCTCCGGATTTGGGGGCTGGGAGTGCCGCAGGAGGAGTTTTTTTTAAGGGCAACAGGAATTTTTTGGGGGGGGTTTCTTCGCAGAGGGAAGACGCGGAGTTGTGTGTTTGCTGTTCCTTCCGGTTCCACGCGGTGTCTCTGCCATTTTCCAGCTGTGCCTTGTCGGACCTTTCCCGCTCTTGACATCCAGCTGTTCCCTTTCCAAGGGCCTCAGCTTCCCAGGACACAGGTGGACTGACCCCACCTTCCCTGAGGAGGATCCTCCTTAAGCCTTGGAGCTGGGCAGGCGGGGCCGGGGAGGTGAGTACCAGTAACAGATGCTCGTGGGTGGGTTATCCTTGTCTTTGCTGGAGGAGAGAATCGTGGGATCACAGGATGGTTGGCTTGGAAGGGAGTCCCAACCTGCTGCCATGGGCAGGGACAGCTTCCACACAGGTTGCTCCAAGCCCATGGTTGGTAGAGATGGGAATTCCCTGGATTCGGTGTGGGAACACTTGACATCCCAACCTCAGTCACTTGGTGAAGGACAGTGGATGAATTGATTGGGAAACTGGGGGGGATGTGCTGGAGTTTGGGAATATGGGAAGAGCCATGTGGGGACAAGTCACTGGAGAAGGTTTTTGTCACTGGGGGGAGCTTCTCTTCCTTGTACTTGGTGCCTCCAGGTCCTGGGAGCCTTCGGAAACCCCACATTCCCCTCTGAGCTGTGGGTTTGGGATGGAAGGAGCCGACTGGGATAGCGGAGGGTGGTGCATCCAAAGGGTGACAGTCCCAGTTCCTCTTTGGAACTGAGCCTTGGGGCTGCCACCTCAGACGCTGGTATCCCAATTTCCCACCTCTGAAGGGGGGCTGGATTAAACTGCAGGGAAAGGGCAGCTGTGGAGCAGGGAAAGGGCGGGGGGGGCCTCCCGGTGGGTCGAGCTCTGCTCCCAGCCCTGCTCCAAACTCCGACAGGGAGCGTCTGGCTCGGCTTGGAATTTTTGCCGGCTGATGGGATCAGCCGTGATTTTTCCAGGCTGGAGCATCCCCAGCATCCTCCTGGCGGCGTCTGCAGAGCCGCTGCAGCCGCCGGCGCCGTCCTCTGGCTGCAGCTGTGCTTCCAGCGGCTGGGAGCGGAGCGCGGGGGCTCTCCCGACCTGCGGCTGCAGCTCCTTTTTCCATGCTGGGCATGTCCCAGCTCCGGAAGGAAGATAAATGGGATGGGCAGGCTGCGGCACAGGCAGCTGCAAACACCCGGCCCTCTCCTCCCAGCTGCATTCCCTCCTCCCCTGCCGCTCTCCCGGCTGCCTGAGCTGGGATTTCCAGGCTTGGTCTTCACCAGTTCAATGGATCTTCCATCAATTTAATTGATTTTTCATCAATTGGCAAAAAAAACCCTTATTCCCCTCCTCTGCCCCTTTAACCACCTTTCCTTTCCCCACCCTGAGCAGACAGCAAAGTGGCTTTTCATAAGAAATTTGGGATCCTCTTTTAGGAGCAGGATGTAAATGCCGGGCACGGGCATATCAGGAATGCAAGCTCAGTGGAATTGCAGTGCCGGGAGCAGCTCTACCCTTCCCGGGAGGAGGAGGAGGAGGGAAGGGCTGAAGGCAGCTGGATGATGGTGCTCCTACTGCCCCACAGCTCTGCCTTGGGGTGCTGTTCCCAAATTTTCCGGGCAAGGGAGAAAATGGGATTGATTGATTGCTGCTGGTGGTTTGGCACTGGCCTTTCCCACGTTTATCCGAGCTCGGGGAGAAATCTGAGTGGAAGTGTGAGGGTGGAATTGGAGCTCCTGTGGAAATTCAAGGTTTGATCCTGACATTTCCTGAGCTGCTTGATTTCCAGGGAAGTGTGTTTGAATCTTCAGCTGATTTCAGTGCTGTGGGATATTGTGGGATTCATCATTCCAGGCAGCTTGGGAGCATGTTTGGGCCTGTGAATCCTGCCGTGTCCATCCTCGTTTCCCAGGGGTTTTGGAGTTGTTCTGAGCTTTGCTCAGTGTTTGGATCTTCGTCAGCTCTCCCTGCTGGGAGAGAGGAGTCATGTGAGTCTGGATTGCAGCTGGGAATGGAGCAGCTCATCCCTAATTTCTGTTCCTCAGCGCTGCTTCTCCCTCTGATCCTGCCCGGCAGCAGCACCCAGAGCTCCTGGGAAGCCCCTTTCCTGAGCGGAGCAGAGCCCAGTCCAGGTGTTTTTGTGGAATGTGGTTCTGGTGTCTGTGCTTCCAGATGGATTTTTGAAGCGTTTACCTGCTCCTTTGTTCAGCTTCCTAGAGCAGGGCCTGGCTGCCATCAGCTCTTCCCACCGGAGTCGCTGCTGGAGGCACGTGTGGATCCATCGCTGCCCTTCCCGTGGATCGCTCCGTGTCCCTGGGTCTCTGGGAGACCGGCACAGCGGGAGACAAGTGGGATCAGCCCTGGGATGTTCAGGTACCACGGGGAAGGGGAGTGTGGGAGTCTGAGCTGGGGGCAAAGGAGCTCTTGCAGCAGCTGGACGTGGCCCGGGAAGGAGGGAGGATTTCTGGTCCTGACGGAAAACTTCCGGATGTTTCCATCTCCGGGTGTGTCTCACCTGGGATTGGGCACCTCGTTTAGTGAATTGGGGAATGGTTTGGGTTGGAAGGGTTTAAATTAGATGTTAAGAAGAAATTCAGCCTTGGAGCTGAACTACCCCTGGCTCTTCCCAGTGCCTCTGGGAGAGATGGGAGATGGACACAATGGGCAGGGACAAGGGACACCTCCCACTATCCCAGCTTGCTCCAAGCTCTATCCAACCTGGCCTTGGACACTTCCAGGGATTCAGAGGCAGCCCCAGCTTCTCTGGGCAAACTGTGCCAGGGCCTCCCCACCCTCCCAGGGAAGAATTCCTTCCCAGTATCCCATCCATCCCTGCCCTCTGGCAGTGGGTGTTGGATCAGCACCCGAGGTGGTGACAGTGGCTTGGACATGGAGAGGGCAGAAGGGATGAAGGCACGGGGGGTGTGTGTGGCTGGATCCTTCTCCTCTCCTGCCCTTGGGAGCTGATGTTTATGCAGGGATGAACACAGGGATGGCAGTGCCTGTCACTGCCCTGGTCCCTTCCCAGGCAGAGACGCCTCATCCCACAGATCCGGGATGCAAAGGAGCTGCTCTGCCAGTGCAGGATGGTGGTTCCCCTGCACAGCAGCAGGATTTTTGGGACAGCTTTGTCCCTTCTGTGCCTCTTTGGGGTCTTTATGGCGTGTTCAGGGGCTGGTGTGGGATCCCTGGGGATGCTCCAGCCCCAATCCTGTGAGGAGCTGAGGTGTTTTGGAGCCTTCCCACTGCCCTCGGAGCTCCCAGCTGGAAAGGCAGGGAGGCAGAGTGGCACAGGAGACAGGGGAGCTGCTGCTGCGCAGCTCTCCAGGGGGACCCAACCCTTCCCACCCTCTGGAATGGCCCAGGCTGAGCAGCCCCCACCCCCCTCCTCCTCCTCCTCACTGACCACGGGCCAGGGCTGGTTTTTCGCTGCCTTTATTAGACCGCAGAGGGGGGTCGTGTTTTTATTCCCTTCCCGGGAGCGGATGCAGCAGGAGGGAGGCAGGGAAGGCAGGAGAGGATGAGGATGTGTGTGTGGGGGGGTATCCCAAACCCCCCGGGTGCAGGGATGAGCTGATCCAGGGCTTTGCTGGCAGAGCTGGGTGCTGGTGTCACTGGTGCTTCTTTATCCAGCTGTGGGGTCTGTTTGTAATTCCTACGTTTGTTTAATGTCAGTGCTGCCTCCGGGATAAAACCTTGGCTGTGAGGGTGATGCTCAGCAGCTGCTCCTCACCCCCTTCCTTTGCCATTCCCTGTGCTGCCCAAAAAAAACCCAGGAGCTGCTGCTTGTCCCCAGGCCTGACCACGTGTGTCCCCTCCATCCCAAATCCCTGCTGTGAAGTTCCCGGCTTGGCTGCCAGAAAGGATCCCTGGTCCCCCAGGGAGAGCTGCCCTTCTCCCCCTCCCAAAAATCAGGGTGCTGCGTGTCCCTCCCACTTGGCTGGGATATTCCCTGGGCTCTTCCCACCTCAGTTCCCAGGGGTTTAACTCCAGTTCCTGGGGTTTTGCACCATTTCTCCAGCTTGGCTGGGCCCAGGGGACCAGGGTAGGGCTGGAAAGGGGTGGAAATCCTGCAAAGGTTTTCATCCTCCTTAATCTTTCCCCCCTCTCTTGAGCATCCCCTTGGCTGCCCCTTGTGTGCTCCAGTGCTGGAGCCTCTCCCAAAAAAAAAGCCCTAGAAAGCCTCTTCATGGAGTTCACCCAGCCAAAAACAATCCAGCCACTTCCCCCAAATTAACTCCCCACTGCTTGCTCCCAAATCCAGGTATTTGTGCAGCCAGCTCCCTGTGGAGATTTGGGGGGAGGAGCTGCACCCCCCTCTCCTGCCAGCAGCTCCCAGGCCCTTTCCCGCTGGGAATGGGATGCTGTGGAGTTCTGGGGTGGGTTTCAGGGGGGCTCTGAAGCACTGGGGGTGTTATTTAATGCAGAAGCTGGGGCTGGCGGGAGGGCGGGCGTGGGGTCTCTGCCCCCCAGCATTTTGTGGGGGGTGCTCAGGGCAGGTTCCAAGCCAGGGGTGAGTTAAACTGGGCTGAGGGGAGGGGGAGGCTGTGACCCAGTTTGGGGTGGGGTGGGGTGGGGGTTGCTCCTAAAACCAGCAGGGCATCCACATGAAGGAGCCCAGGGCGGCGCCGGTGGCCGCCCCCGCCAGCAGCCCCAGCGCCATCTGGTCCCCGGACACGCGGTACGGATCCTCCCGCACGATCACGTGCGTCACCCCGGGACCTGCACGGCAAAACAGGGGGTGGGGGGTGAGCCGGGGGGGTAGCCACCCTCCTGGCACCCCCCCCAGTGCCACCAGCAGGGCCACCCACCTCCGTACTGGGGGCCGTAGTGGCCCGAGCTGATGTAGGCGGTCTGGTGCGAGTCCAGCGGCACCGTCTGGTAGTAGTCGTCGTCGTAGGGGTCGTACACGTGCACC